TGCAAGAAAATTATGTTGCAGTTTGCAACGCTGAGCTCATGTTTTATACACCACATTCTTCATATGGTTAATTAGCTTCAGTGATGCTTTGGGTGCAGTACATATTCACAGCAAAAGTGCTCAGACCTGGAGAGATGAGAAGTGAAAGAGCAAGGGAAATCAGAGTGATGTGAAGCCGTGTTGCTGGGTCTCCCGAGGGGTTTTCTTCACTGTGTGAGATGCTTTCATATCTGTCCCAGATCCGTTAAAGGAACCTATCAGATTCTGAAATCATGGTCCTCATAAGCGCAAATCTATATGCAAATGCAGACCATCCAGACATTTAGCTGAGGAATTTAATCATAGCAACACATGCAATGCCTGCCCTGCACTCAGGAAACAAGCTGAGAAATCCCACATCCCCGCTGTTGGGGAGCCACGCACTAACTACAGGAATAGAATCATTATATCACGACCACAAGACACCAATTAGAGTAAAATTCAGCCACTACAAGATCCATCTTCAACTCACTGCAGATCGAAGATTTGGTGTCACTCAAGAAATGGACAATCCAATAATGGTTTAATTGGTTCTCTCTGCTCTGAGTTCAGTCAGTGTGAACTTTGACCTGTTGCTTGTTGGCAGTTAGTCACACCTCACCCTTCCTAATCTCTATTTGGTACCCACCAATCATCCCCTTGCACATACATGTAAGATGCATTCAGTAATATTCTGACAACCAGATATATTCTTAAAATTGATGTCTAGTTAGAAACACGTTTTTTCTTTTACTTTTTTTATCAACTCACCATTTATTAAAATGAATTCCAGATTTTGCCATTTAATATAGAATCAATCTTTTCCAGTAGCAGAGGACTGTTAGAGCTAAAGCCTCATAAATTTTGATTTTGATCTTGACTGTATGGTCCTGCCTAGCCCTAAATGTTGCCTCTTATGTATTTTTATCATTACATCCGAATCACAGAGCAACTGTTCTTCTGAAAAATGAATACCCAGTGACATTTAAAATACCAAAAAGGTCGTTTTTAACAACACTTACCTTTGTTCTAACCATAAAAAAAGATTTAACCATCCCAATCCAAAGACGGTAGCCGGAAATTACAGATCTCCTTGGTCAGTTTTAATATCAGTTATATTTCTCTATATTAATGTTCTTCTATTATTTTTTATTTTTTTTTAGATGAAAATAATGCTGTTATATATTTCATGTGTCATACAAAACAAGCAACTTGACACTAACCCCACAGGTAACACAACAGGTAGTGTGTCAAGTCGGGTCTAACGTTTTTTTGTATAAAGCTTCAGGCTCAGGTCATTTTCAAATTAAATTTAAGATAATTCTCTTTTTCTTGACTCTGTAAATTGTCTGAGTTGATGTATGTCATGTGTTGCAAGTACATAAACGATGCCCACTGGGAATGCATTGCATTAGCCTAGCAAGTTACCAGTCAGTAATGGATGAAACAAAGCAAAAACTTACAAAAGGGTTGTTTTTTTTAAATCCCCAATGTATTGCCACTAAAACCAAGGCTTATTAGAAGTTAGGGTTTGTGCTGGTGGGCTGATATTCTCCCTTGGTCTATTACTCAGATAACTTATTTTTTATATGTGAAAAATGCTCTCTAAAGCAAGCACATAACTTTGTCTTTGAAGGAGAAATAACAAAAATATATCCTTGTCTTGGGTCAGGTTTTGTTCTCAAATCTCTTGAGAAATCTCAATCGGGTCTCTAGAGTGAGGACATAATGTTTGTCAGGAACTTTAT